TCTACGGTCAAATTAATGTTTTGAAACGGTTTCAGACTTAACGGTTGAATTAATACTTTGTAATGGTTACAAAATTAATTTTCAGAATAATACTTTGTAACAATTACAAAGTTAGTGCCCAGAATTATACTTTTTAATGGTTACAGAGTTAATACCCAAATTAATGCTCTGAAACAGAGTCAACATTCAGATTCAGACTGTGAAACAGGTTCAGACTCAAGGCCGAATTAATGCTCTGAAACGGTTTCGGAGTTAATGGCTGAATTGATTTAAATAAATTGGATCTGAGACTGATAACATCTGATGACTTAGGTAAGTCATTTTTATTCACACATGAAAACTGTTGATAGCACAATTAAAGTTGTGAAAATCTCATAAATTTCTCTCTACCGTTTGACGCGTGATTGGCGGTGTGTCTGAACTAAAGGTCCGACATTTGTGGGGCTAGAACTAAAAAGCATCAGCATCAGATTACTTTAGGCATGCTACGAGGAAATTAGCTATGAGAAGATCGGATATTTATGATCTGGGATTGAATAACTTCATAACCAAATTGCTTTGTGCACGGTACAGGGTTAATGCGATTAGCCCTCTTTGCTTCCAAGTGCTTGTTGAAATGCATGAAAAATGTTTTGGAGATACAAGAAATGCATGGTTTTTACTTCCGTTGCGATTCCAAATTAACTTTAACCATGCATGTTTTCGCCAAAAAATCCCAACAAATATAATCCTTGTTAAAATTTGTATAGACATGCATCATTAGATTAAATAAAAAGGACAAATAGACAAAGCAAAAGATAAGGAATAAAAAGAGTGAGGCCGATCGTTCCTTGCTAGCTGACAAAAAGATTCTTTTTTACATGTATTTCCTATCAAATATGTAAAAAAATATTAAACTAAAGACAGCCAGGAAAACAAGGCAAGGAATTAGGAAATTGGTAACACACTCCAGGAGGCGGCGGTCAACTCATTTGACATGTAAACAATTTCAAAAATATTAACGTAAAAACCATCAATGCTCGTAGTACGACCATATAAATGACAATAATGACATATCCCGACTCCACATACACAAATTTGTCGTCCCCAAAAATTTGAGGTACAATTTGGTTCTTAATTGTATTCCCTCCGGATAATTAATACATCAGTTATCAAGTAACATATAGTCAAGATTTAGCCAAATCCACAATTAATTTTTTTTAATATCCTAGGATTTGGAATATTATACATGGAAAATCCTTGATCACATATCTCTCTCTCTCTCTCTCTCTTAACCTCCATTGCTAGAGGAAGAATTGTCGTGACAACCATTTAGAGGGACCTAATACCCTAAAAAACTTCAAACGGTAGCTTTTGTCCTAATTTTATCATTTGTCTCATAAAAAATCTCTAATTTTGGGTCATGTCATAATTCTACTATAAACTTTTTTTTGTCCCATAAAAAACCCTCAACTTTAGGTCTTAATCCAATTATACTCTAAACTTTTTTTTGTCTTATGAAAAACCCCCAATTTTAGGTCTTGCCCCAATTTTATCGTCTAGTCCCAATTTTACCTTAAAATTTTTACAATCTCATAAAAACCACAAATTCTTACTTAAGTCATAAATTTGCCCCCATTAACCCTCCATCCAAAATTTCTCATTAACAATCAAGAGATGGAAAACTCCCAAGCACGAGCTATTCGAGCGTACTGAGCCCAAGAGATGGAATATTCTCAAGCACGAGAGATCGACGAGCGCAAAATCACTAATGGCGATTTTGATGGAGGGTTAATGAAGTGTAGATTTAGGACTAAAGTAAAAGTTGGTAATCTTTTAGAAGACAAAAAAATTATATGAAACAATAATTGAATCTAAAGCTCAGATTTTTTTACGTGACAAAAAAAAAGTTTAGGGTAAAATAGGTACTGGATCTAAAGTTGAGAGTTTTTTATTAGACAAAAAAGCTTAGGGTAGAATTGAGATTGCACCCAAAGTTGGGGTTTTTTATGGGACAAAAAAGGTTTATGGTAAAATTGGGACATGACCTAAAGTTAAAAGTTTTTTATGAGACAAAAGGTAAAATTGAGATAATAGCTAAAGTTGGAGGTTTTTTAGGGTATTTGCCCCATTTAGAGGAGATAAATTAACTTGTGAGAGAAATTTCGTTGAAGGAGAGTAGAGTGGAATCGAAATGGTTAACATTTTATTAACAAGGTCACTAATAAAAAGGCCGTTTTGCTTGCTCTCTTTGCGGACTTTGAGAATTAAAATTGAAGCATCAATTAATAAATCAAGTGCGTATCTTAGAAGTTACTAATAATAATAATGCGGAAGACAGATTTGATGATTTTATGTATATTTTGATGTATATAGAATAAGATTACATTAGCATACTTATAGGCTTTATTAATGACTATTTGAGATAACGCACAATCTTAAGAGATATATAGAATCGATAGAATTATTGAGGGTCCAGCTAGGCTAACCATACCGTTACACCACATTTGTAACGGTGCTTTAATAGCCACAAATCTTACATTCTGTTAGTTGGACTCAGCTGGGCAACCGGAGTACAAAATTTTCAAAATTAATTGTAAAAAATGGCCATTATGCCGCAAAATTCCAAAAGCTAAACCCTCTAAAAGAATAAGAAAAATCAGAACCGTATCAATTAGCACAATGTTAAGCACCTATAGGGAACAAAAGTTAACATAAAATTCTGACTTTCATATTTATTTTAAGTTTCATGTACCAAGATTTATTAGTAACATGTCACGCACAATTTCCAAAAGAGAAACGGAAAATTTAATTAAATTCAAGAACTAAAAGTTATATGATTGTACTCCCAGCTATTTGATAGACTAGAGCGAGACAAGATACATAGGGCCCGTTTGGTTCGGCTTTTAGAATGCTCATTTGGGTAATGCAAATACCTTTAGGTGAAAGGCACTTGAAAAAATGCAAATGGCGTTTGGTAAAAAATTATTTGAAAGCCACTTGGGGAAATGCAATTGTATTTGGTTAGTTCTTTTTACAAGTGGGCTTTGGGAGCTTTTTTTTTTATTATTTTTAAAAGTACCCTTCGCCGGCTCCGGCGAAGAGCTACGACCGCTGGCGAGCCAGATCTGGCGCTGGCGGCCGTCGCCCGAGGAGGCCTGAGGTCGCGCAACCCCAGGCGGCAAGGGTCGCGCGACCGGCGACGGCGCCCGGGCGGTCGCGCGACTCGAGCGACGGCGCAACGGCGTCGCGTGACCCAGGCGGTGTCGCCCGAGGTCGCGCGAACTCGGGTGGCGACGGCCAAGGTAGAGCTACCCTGTGCGGCCGTCGCTTGACCCAGCCGTCGCCGCCCGGTCGTGCGACCTCGGGCGACGGCCGCCTAGGGTCGGGCGACCGTCCAAGCGCCGTTGCCCCCGGGGTCGCGTGACCCAGCGACGGCGCCTGGGTGGTCGCCCGACCTCAGGCGGCCGTCGTCGGGGTCGCGCGACCTCGCCGGCCGCATTGGCCCCTCGCCGGCCGCCCTAGCCGACCACGCTTCGCTGAAGAATTTTTTTTTTATTTTTGGGAAAAGTCAGCATTTGTGGAATGCTTAATGCTCAAAGCTGGTCCGGACCAGCTTTGAGCGTTCAGCATTCTAAATGCTACCAAATGAGCATTTGGAACTCCAATGCTGAACCAAACGGGGCCATAGTGATGGTGCGCTTCACAATGCAAATGAAAAGTCATAGACCAAAGAACCAGATAAAATATTTTGTAAACTTTAATTCTAAGGTGAAATATGAGAAAATTGATAGAAACTTAGTACAAGATAACATTTATTCGATTAAGATTGCATAATATGATGAGTCAGATTTGTCTCATGTTTGAATTGTTGCTTTTGTAGACTAGCAAGTCTCACCAAAACCTCAAACTAGTAACACATATTTTAAAACTATATAGATGAGGTGTTCAAGATTAGAGTAAATAATAGTGTGCTGGTGATGAGTTTGAATGAGGATATTTACATACTGTAATATAGTAGTCATGTATAAGATTATTGAGCCTTTTATACATTATAATGAGTTAGCAATAATGATCAAGCAAAACAATATTTCTTTAACTCGCAAAAGGATTGGCTATAATCTAGTAAGTTTTTTTTTTCTTTTGATTTAATCATACGTAATATTGGGTAAATAATCTCCATGTATTATTGTAAATAACGCCACTTTCCAGGCATCCGGTTCCCAGGAAATGCTTTTGTTGTCAAGAGTTGATCGTCATTCTCCCGTAAAATGACAGCACCATTAATTAGTAATATCCCTAACAAAGGAAACTATCCTATAAAAACCTTTAATAATTAAATGACGGCTCAATTGTTAGAGTGCGGGCAAGGTCCAGCTGTCTCTTATACATTCGCAGAAAATGGAAATGGAAAGCGTAACATGCATGGAAAGAGTAATCCAATCTTCGAAAAGGTCCTTATAAAGACGCACACCTTTCGCTCCAACGGGGACGCTTCTCATCTTGTTCTCTCGTGTTCTTGCTGAAGTCCCCATTCGCGCCGCTTCTTGCTCGCCCATGATCTTCAAGACCCAGTTCAAATTCGATTCTAGGTTCGTCCTTTCTCTCTGTCTGTCTGTCTCTGTCTGTCTGTCTGTCTCTCTCGTCTTCTTGTTCTTGTTCTTCCAATTGGTGTTTCCTTTCATTTTTTACTTGGAACTGATCGGGAAGCAGTCGCATACGTCTCGTTTAGCCAGTGACGGAGCCGCCCGGCCATCCCCAGATCAGCTATATGTTCTCCCCTTTCTTTTCTGGTTTTCTGAGTCGTCCTCCCTTCTGAGCTTCAAAGACAAACATTCGTTCTGCGTTTCTCTCTCTTTCTCCAATGATTACGACGACAAGGACGAAGCGAGTTGAGCTTCGGGGCCCCTTTTCTATCTCATTCTAGTCTCCGATGAAGAACGCAAAACGACAATTCAAAGCCATTCTTGCTTCATATTCAATTATTAGATCTGCCTCTTTCTGTCAGCCATCATGATCTCGATTCTTGAACCACCATGCAATCTAATAGTCTTCGTCGTTAAAGATCATTGTCGTATTGATGGGATTTGTCTGTTTCATCTTCAAAGCTAGCTTTGCTTGCTTTTCTCTTTCATCATAATTTTGGTTATGGCGGCCATTTGCTTTGATTATTCTTATTCACTGATTGCAGTTTCTTGATTTGGCGGTAGTCGTGTGCATTCTGACTCTGTGAGACAAAAAAATTCTGTTGGGTTGCTTTCGACTTGGTTGTGTACTGGATGTGCACGTCGAAGACAAGATGGAGTTGTTAACTGGTCCGGTTATGAGAGCAGTATGCAAAGTTCAAATTGATTAGGCAACCCTACAACTTGATCATTTGTATTTTGGACTCTATAATCTGTAAACCATCATTTGATTATCTTACTACCAATGGCAGAGCCGGATTAAGAGCGCAATCCGAAACAAATCTTCTCTTAAAATTCTTATTCTCTATGTATATAAATAAGCTCCCACTTTTGATTGTCATACGAGCAGGAAAACAACATCAGCTGTTGAAAATGGCTACTCAAATGGCCCCTCTTTGCAAACTTCTCTTGATGAGTTTCATCAGCTGTGTTGTGTTGGTGCCCTTTGGAGGAGCGTCCGGTGAAGATCACAAGGTAAATACATTCTTATTACTGTGTCTTTGAGTTGAATTCAACGTTAGCAAGTTTTCATGTTCGTTTCGATTGTGTCGATGAGTATCCTTTGTTGATTGGAACAGGTTTATGTGGTGTACATGGGGGGACTTCCCAAACAAGCAGGCTTCTTGGCAACGTCGGTCCACACCAGCATGCTACAAGAAGTTGTTGGCAGGTTGATATGCTTTGTAATTTTTCATCAAGTTCTCGGAAGCATTATAAAACTATATACGTACATTGGATACTAACTACACTTGGTCTATTCTATCAAACCAACCAACGACACATTTTTGGCATTAGTATTATCACCGGGTAGTGCCTAACGTGCTCTGTGCAACTCAACTTTCTCCTATATAATACGGTGTTAGATAAACTTCAATTCATTCAAACGAGTAAAAGATTGGTCTATCCTACAGGAGGAATGCCAACAACTTACATTAATAATACCCAGCACCTAGGTAATTTCAATCTCAACCATACGATTGCTAATGACTGATCACATAATATTAATTCTCTTGCAGTGAACGATTTTACTCAACGTCTTTTCTATGATTGCATTTCGAGCTATACATTGGCTTTATTATTTCGAATTGTGATACAATGTGGGATTCAAAAGGTCCTTATAGCTAGACATGGATCGTCTTAGTACTGATTATAACCAAGTTTAACCCCATCATTCAATAATTTTCTTCTGCAGTCGCGCATCGGAGTCGTTAGTACACAGCTATTCAAGGAGCTTCCACGGATTCTCTGCCATACTCACTGAAGACGAAGTGGCAAAAATCGCAGGTGCAAAAGCAATACCTAAGTTCCATGGACAATAGCAAGCCATGCATGACATCGTTCAATATATTGTAATAATTCGTCAACCCATGTATGAATCTCATCAGGAATGGAAGGAGTAGTGTCGGTGTTCCCAAGTGAGAGGCATCAACTTCAAACGACGAGGTCGTGGGACTTCCTGGGCTTCTCTCAGAGCGTGCAAAGACTGCCGACTGAGAGTGACCTCATTGTTGGAATGCTTGATACGGGCATCTGGCCTGAGAGTGACAGCTTTAACGACGAAGGGTTTGGCCGTCCTCCAGCCAAATGGAAGGGCACTTGCCAAACCTCCAACTTCACTTGCAATAAGTACTACATCATGCATTGTTATCTTTATTTATGTAATATAAGTAGTATTTGTGCATCAATTGTATTAGAATTGAATTTACAGCCGCAGGCACTCTGATTGTTGACACATGCTGTAACGCTGTGTAATGTGATTGACAGAAGCTAATTTCTCTTTCCTGGGTTGATTGTTTTGTAGTAAAATCATTGGAGCCAAATACTACCGGCAAAACACCACATATTTACCGGGGGATTTAGCTTCGCCTAGGGACACCGAGGGTCACGGATCTCACACGTCGTCAATAGCAGCCGGTGGCTTGGTGAGCGGAACAAGCCTATTTGGCCTCGGCCCTGGGACAGCTCGAGGAGGAGTCCCATCTGCCCGCATCGCCGTGTACAAAGTGTGCTGGGCTGACCACTGCTACGATGCGGACATGCTCGCCGCGTTTGATGACGCCATAGCGGACGGAGTGGACATCATCTCCATCTCCATCGTCCCATTTGAACCCCGCGATTACTTTATGGACTCAATCGCGATCGGATCTTTCCACGCGATGAAGCATGGCATACTCACGTCAGTGGCAGCTGGGAACTATGGCCCTAAACCAGCGACGACCACAAACTTTTCCCCTTGGTTTCTCTCGGTCGCGGCTAGCACGATAGATCGGAAGTTTGTCAGCAAAGTTCTGTTAGGAAGTGGAAAGTCTTATGAGGTAAAAAAACCTATATATGACTAATTTTACTTCAAGTACATATCTGAATTCATCCATTTCTTCTAGTATATTTGCACTACTAAATGGTAGTATATAGTTAGCACTTACTCATAATGCAATTCTTATATATAGGGCGTCTCAATCAATACTTTTGAACTCAACAACACGATGTACCCGATGATATATGGAGGAGATGCCCCAAATATTGCACAAGGATTTAATTCAGCCCAATCAAGGTGTATATGTGTGTATATATATGTTAGAGAGAGAGATTGAATTATCCCTATGCATGAAATTAATGGACATAGTATATGTACCTTGTAGGCTCTGCGTTACGAATTCTCTGGACAGCTCTTTGGTGAAAGGTAAGATCGTCTTTTGTGATTCCCTCAATTCCGTCGATGACGCGCTATCAGCGGGCGCCACCGCACTATCAGCAGGCGCTGCCGGCTCAATAATGGAAGGCTTGGTAGTCACGGACGAGGCATTTGCCTTCCCAGTGGCTGCCTCCTTCTTGAACGTAGCCGATGGAAGTGAAGTTTATGACTACCTGAAATCAACTAGGTAAAGCGTTTTGCAATCTCAACCAGTTTTAGCTTACTGAAAAAAAAAGTACGAACCAATTCGTGGTCAGACGATTACCAGAGAGTGAATAATGTCGGGAACTTTTTTTCTTTTCCTGCTAGAGATTCTATGGCAACCATATTTAAGAGCACAGAGACCATGGATTCGTTGGCTCCGGCGGTTGTTTCGTTCTCGTCAAGAGGCCCAAGCCCAATTGCCAGGGACATTCTCAAGGTATGATCGGACCGTGGAGGTGACTTGTTTCATCAATTACGAATTGAGTAGGAATTTGTTCAATTAATTGTAATAGCCAGTATCGATTTTCATATTTGTTGTGTGTAGCCCGATCTCACTGCCCCAGGCGTGGACATTCTAGCAGCGTGGTCGCCGGCTTCGACCGTGACCGAGTTATCAGATGACCCGAGGCACGTTTCATACAATATAATTTCTGGCACCTCCATGGCTTGCCCTCATGCCACCGGCGTGGCCGCATACGTCAAAACGATACATCCGACGTGGTCTCCAGCAGCTATTAAGTCTGCCCTGATGACAACAGGTAGTGCCTGAAATTGCATCTGAGTTGCAACTAAGAAGAGTTCACAAAAACCGTGGATGGTCTTTTAAAATTGCATGTCACAACATTTCACGCAAAGAACCGTAATCGAATTTTATTGCTCAACATTGAAATTTAATTGCAAGAGATATGGTGGTTCGTGGAATACACAATCCATATATTTTAACCAGCTACGAGTTTTGCATGGGCGATTCTCTCAGTACACCTTCTGGCTTTCGCAGCTTCTCCAATGAGTCCTCTCAAGAATACCGATGCCGAATTCGCATACGGAGCTGGTCACATAAACCCTTTGAAAGCAGCGAACCCAGGTTTAGTGTACGATGCCGAGGAGGCAGATTATGTGCAATTCTTGTGCGGACAAGGTTACGACACCAGCAACCTGAGACTTATCACTGGCGATCAAAGCAGCTGCTCAGATGTCAAAAATACGACTGTGTGGGACTTGAATTTACCGACTTTCACGATATCGGCTCAGACCAAAGGCTCCAATATCACAGGAGTCTTCCACAGGACTGTCACTAATGTGGGCAATGCGACTTCTACTTACAAGGCCACTGTGACAGCTCCTCAAGGACTCGCCGTTCGAGTCGAACCACAAACCCTCACGTTTGAGTCTGTCCTACAGAAGCAGAGTTTCGTGGTGACGGTCGAGGCGATCTTGGACGCGGATATGATTTCTGCGTCTCTGGTGTGGGATGATGGTCTTCATCAAGTGAGGAGTCCAATAGTTGCATTTGTGCCTTCCCCCTAGACTTACCTCTGGATTAATTTAATTTACATGCATAGCATGTGTGATAATTTCTTACACGCCCTAAGTTCATCGCCATTGATCTTTTAGGTGCAACTGAACTTCAATGGAAGAAAGTGATGGGCCAGATAATAAAAGGAACACTCGTCTTTTGATTGTAGAGGAAAGCTCCTTAATTAGTTCCAATTAAAGCTGTTGAAGAATTAATTCTGGTTAGGTGTTTTTAACTCGTGCTCTTACTAGTTTCCCTAGGAGGTTTGTATCTTTAAATGTGGTTGATGAGTATTAACCTTGATGTTTCTCTGTGGGCAAGTTTAGTTCAGTTTTCCCAAAAGGCTTTGGGCCTTGGGCCTTGGGGAAACTTTTGAGTGTTTGGCAAACTATTTTATCACATCTTTGACCAAATATTGATGTTGGGAATGCTCCTCCACCAATTAATGTAAATATGCCAATTGTCTTTTTTGCCCTCGAAATCTTACTAAAAGTCCACTTTAGCCCCTTTAAAAGATAAAACCCTACTTCTATTCCTTCCTTGCTCGCTTGCCTGGCTCTACACCCTCGATGCTTTCACCTTGCTCTGTACCCTCACTCGCTTGTCACCCTCACCTCGCCTGCTTGTTCACTTCGCTCGATTGCTTAGTTCCCTTCCCTCGCTTGCATCTCTCTGTAGGTTCCTCTCTCTCTCTCTCTCTCCCTAGTGGATCTGCTTTCGCTTCACTCTGGTCTTTCATTCTTGTTTCTTTGATTTATGTTTCTTTGATTTCCTGCTTTAGTGTGTTAAGAAATGTTGCCGATTAGTTGAAATCGTTGTGCAGCTTGAATTCCCTACAATAGTTCAGCAACGATTTCGCAAGACCACCTCATTTCCCTCCCAATCCACCATAAAACCCTGTTTTTTAGGTTGTTATCCTTCGTCGTCATCTTCCTCGTCATCATCACTTGCCTGTGCAACTCCATTTTCCCTGCAAGCTTTAAGCTCCATTAATGGTGAGAACTGGCTCTCTCGCATTCTCTCTCCTGCTCCTCAAATTTCCCTACAATACTTCAAAGTTTCTGGGCAAAGCTATGCAACTTGTGGTGTTGGGAAATCATTGTAGGGCCAACAATAGTTCAATAATAATTCGAGGATATCACCCACTTAGCTGAAAATTAGGGGGAACCGAATCATAAGAAGCAAAATTTTTAGGGTCTTTGAGAATGCTTATTTGTGTGTTAAGAAATGCATGTGTACATTCAAATGTGTTCATGGTAAAACTTGTTTGTTTGTGCCTCTCAAATTTGTTCATGTCACTTTACTAGTAGGTGGCAAGTAAGTCATTTTGGAGCTCACAAGATGTAGAAACCTTTTGTGAGTTGTGCATTGAACAAATTGAAAAAGGCAATCATCCAGCAAATAACAAAAGGAATGAATGGACAGTCATTATTAGCAAGCTTGAGGAGCTAACAGGCAAAAAGTATAATAAAAATTAAATGAAGAGTAAGTGGGATAATCTTAAGGAAGAATGGAAAAGATGGAGACGTTGGTTTATAGTGAAACAGGACTAGGATGTGATTCAAGGAAAAAAACCGTTGATGCAAGCGATGAATGGTGGGAAAAAAAAATTCAAGGTTTTATCTCTTCCTCTTTTACTTTTGTGTTTAGTTCATCTTCAATGATACAACTTATGCAAAATTCTATATTATTACAAGCCAATCCTAAGTTTAAGGTTTTTTTGGACGAAAGGCACACATCCTCATCTTATAGTTTTGTTAGATAGAATGTTCACACCTACAGTTGCTAATGGAGGAATCACATAGAATCCTAGACAAGGTTTCTGTATTGATAAGGATGTTGTTGGGGCCACACAACCTGGTATCGGCGATGGTGTAGGATCTACTGATGAAAATTTGGAGTGTCATGTGGGTGAAATCATTGTTGAACCAATTGGAACTCACAGCTGTTAAAGAGCGGCGCATACTTCAATAAGACAAGCTCGAGGAAAGAAAGAAAAGAGATTGGCCATGGCACAGCAGCTAGGAACACAAATTAACAGGCTTTGTTTAGCTGTTAGATTAAGGAGCATCGTTGTTGCTGCTACATCTCAGGCAAATGAGGGATGCAATCTTTATAAGGACCTCGTAGATATGCTGGATACCATACTTGAAATTGTGCAAGATGAAAAGTTAAACTTTTTTGCAATCTCTTGTTTTAAGGAAAAGAAAGACAATAGGCAAGGCTTCATGAGCTTAAAGAGCGATGCACTATAAGTCAAGTATCTTAAGTATGAGTTTGAAGAGAGTCATAACTAGGATGTTAGCATCTTTTATGAACTCTTTGATAAACTACTTTGTTTTTATGTGAGATCTCCATTTGCATTACATGTAAACCCAATTTCTTTTATGTTTTAATGTGAGAATTGTATCCAGAATTGTATCCAGTTGGTTTTCTCTTTTCGTGGTTGAGTTTGCACATATATATATATATATATATATATATATATATATATGTGTGTGTGTGTGTGTGTGTGTGTGTGTGTGTGTGTGTGTGTGTGTGTGTGTGAGTGTGTGATGGTTGATATTGTTTCTTTTGATATATAATCAAGATTATTCATTGTTTCTCTTATACTCTAATAACTATATATCTTATTACTTTAAGCAATTATGGATGGTTCTCTTGAAAGGGAAAATCATGAAAAAGAGGAAAATGGATATTGGGATCTTGTCTCAATCTCAGCCGCTTCAATTGGTTATCAAGCAATATACATTGCGGCCCCATATTTTAACATATCTATGAAGAAAAATTGACATAAAAAAGGAGCATGAAATATTGCCTATAAGTGACAATGAAGATCCAATAAGATGTATCAAGACTATTCATGCAGCTTGTTGCCGCTGTAAAATATGCTTTAGAATAGTAATATTAGTTAAACGAAAAAAAAAACAATTGAAAGTATGAAAAAATCGCCAGAATGCCAATAAATGGATAAGAATATTTTCTGTGTGCTGAAAATTCTACTGGTCCCCACAACACTACCATTTTTTCCCTTTTTCATTCCATTTTTTTCTTCTTTTTTCTCTTTATTTTTTTTTTTGGTTGTGACCGGCAACCCTTGTTAGCCACTAGATGAGGTCGAAGAATCATGGCCCCTCGCCTATAGCTGGCGAGGGTCGCCGGTATAGTCTTGAACCTTTTAACGATCCACGTCATCGCTCTCCATGTCAGGTAGCACGGCCAACGAATTTCAAGACTAAATATGTAAATCGTCAAAAGATTTAAAACTAAATTAACTATATTAAAATGTTTAAGACTTAATTAGCATTCATGCAATAGGTTAAGGACTTTTCTGGTAATTTTCCCACATTTATGACCTAATGTATATTCATAACGAACCCTATATTATGCCATTAAGAGTGAAATTACATGATAAAAAAAGTTGATGTTTTAGGAGTCTAATTGAAGAATGTGTTATGGAATGCTTAGAATGGATAATTACAGTCTATTGCGCGATCTTTTCATTGTAGTCTAAGATTGTGTTGTTGTCAAGGAGTGAAATTTGTTATAGAATGCTTCGAATGGATAGTTGAATCTCACCTAATGAACTATTTCGATGCGATTTAATTCGATTTCACTAGGTTGTCCCCTAAACACGTATGATTCTACAAGCCAAATCCCAATTCTGATTACATTGCCCGTAATGCTTAACCAAAAAACAGAATTAATTAAGAATTAGATGAGATTCCATTTTCGTGTCATTATAGATTTTTAAATCTTATTTTCATTCAATTTAGATCACCATTGCTTCTATTTAGGCATCTAATTTTCAAAGAAATTTCAAGGCTACTCTTAGATAGATGGAAAATTACCAAAAAAGTCCTAAACCTATTGTAATTATATAAATTCAGTCCTAAACTTTTTTTTGTTTTGTTTCAATTGAGTCCTAAAATTTTTATTTTTCTGCCAATTCAGTCCATCCGGCCAATTTTGGCCGACCGGCACTAACGTGGATAATTTTTAATAATATATTAAAAAAATTTTAAAATTATTGTTTTTAAAAAATTTTCCCTCCTTCCTCTGGCCGGTCACCGGATCGAGGTGAGGGCCGACAAGGTTGACCTTGCCAGCCACTAGCAAGGCAGACCTCACCGGCTAGAGGAAGAAGGAAAGGAAAAAAAACGAAAAAGAAAAATTAATTAAAAAATTTGAGAAAAAATATTATTAAAAAATTTCACGTAAGCTTCTGCTGTGCCACGTCAATGCCGGCCGGGTAAAATTGGCCGGATGGACCAAACTAGCACATATATAAAAGGTTTATGATTCAATTGACAAAAAAAATTTTTTGAAGTGAATTGACATAATTGCAATAGATTTAAGACTTTTTTAGTAATTTTCCCCTTAGATGGCCCACATTGACTAAACTGGTAAGATTTAATCAAGCGAAGAATCCGTAGCGTTATTATCGCGTGATCTCTTCAACGTTGGTAGGCCTTGTTGACGTCGTACTCTTATGACCATTATGTGAGAACGGTAACTTTCTGTTGGCTCATGGAGTCCTGAAACTTTCTTCCAGACAAAAGACCTTCATTTCGTCACCTATGTGGCTACCTCACCGAGCGATGTACTCCTATAAAGATGAAATTGACACGTCAGTCAATTTGTTCGGATAATGTTGACCATTACATTGTCGATTTGGGCAAGTCGAGGTCAACATACGCAAAGCTTAGATTTACCAGAGCGAGTCATTGAGAGCTGCTCTGGCCTTGACATGGACCTTTGGCCAAGTCGAGGTCGAACACAGTCACACTGACCAAATTGGTTAGATAGTGAGCTCAGAAATTGCAGGTCGGGATCTTTTCGACTCATGGCCCGGCTTCGAAACCGTCCGTGGCTACTTCTGCAGCTGCGACCTATGCATTTTCAACCAAATTTGCAGGAAGAAGTATAACAGAAACTTCCCCTTTGAACTCATATGTACTCCGCAGCAACCTCAACACGGACTCTACAGGCAAGATGATCTCGCTCCAGTCCTGCAAGAAGTTTGCTCTCCACACAAGCCACAAATGACTTAATCTGCAATACTGTAAAACAAATTTTTCACTGATGCATTGCCCGTATGTATTAATCTGAAAACATGGGCACTAGATTCAAATCAAGACTAGCCTGAGGCGACTAATATA